CAAACCTTATCTCTAATTAGAAGGAATCATCCATAGTGCAATAATTTTTACCATACCATTCCTGTAAACTTTTGTAAGTATATCAGGTTCACATTTTAGTCCCTTGTTACCTGATTTTGGAATTTCGTCAATGATACATGCACAATGTGATGTTAACCTCCACAACTGCAACCAGCTGTGAAGTAACTTCAAATTATTGTACGTCCTACTTATAATGTCTTTGATTTGTATCTCTTTTTTAAAAAAAATTTCTTTCTGATTGGAAAACCAGTGTGTGCACTGCATTCATATGATATCGGTGGATGATATTAGAGCATTTGGCAAGGTAATTCTTTTATTTGACATTGTCAAGTACAATCTGAGAATCAGATTCTGAAAAGTTCAGTAGAATTTACACATATTTCTTGAACTTGCGGATCCCTAAATCGTACCATGTTCTGGGAAGGAGCGAAAGAGTAGGAACAGGGCTAGAATGACACAGGTGGGTCTCGAGTGATTCGACTCGTCTACGACGAAGGATGTGCAGTCAATAATTTGTAATGAAGGTTATTATGGATTCAAATTTCATCAGAGGAAACAGTTGGGTCATTTTTTTAGTTTTTCAAGTTTTGGTTGGCATAGTGTGTGTATCAGTACGATGTTTGATCGATGAAGGTCTTCCAGTGTGAAATAATTAAGATGTGATTTGAATTATTTTTCTTCTACAAGTTAAAAATAAGGGAAGAAGGGAAAAAAGGACATTTTCTTGTAGTTTAGTGCCCAAAACCATGTTTACATTTCTCAGCTTCAAGCCATGTATGACCAACACAGTAATAATCACAATAATTAATAATTTAAAATATTTGAAAAGATTATGTTTTTTTGGGTCGTCCAAATAGTAAATAAGACAAAAAAAATTGAAATAGAGAGACTCTATTTCTACTTAGATTTATTTTCTCAAATCATCTTGCATTTATGTCGTTATAAAAGATTTTGGTAACGAATATTTTTCTGGAGATGCGTTTGAAAATACTGAAGGATTTGTAAGTTATTATTGTCTATTGGAAATACAGTAGTAACTAATAAGGATTATTATTTATAAAAACAAACATTAACTAATGAGAAAAAGGGGTAAAAAACAATCTTGTATTTTCACTTCAATATTACATATTTCCTTTACGTGACTTTATATGACTTACTTTGCTTTCTAATCCGTCCTCAATAGAATGACAAATGTCTATATTTAATAATAATTTAACTTTAAAATATCTAATTTACCCCAAATCAAACTAAATAAATAAAACACAGGGACTCCACTTTTATTTCAAAAGCAAATATTACACTTTTTCCGTTTATGTCTACTTTTGTGTGTCTCAAAAAATGACATCTAATCAAAAGCAAATATTACATCATTGAATAACGAATTTGAGACGCTAGAGAATATCAGTAGTGGAGTGCAGCTAGGAGCAGAAGCTGCCCGGAGAAACTCACACGAGGTTGCACCAACAATCCAGCATTCGGTCAGCGCGCTACTAGTGATGTGGCTACTGTATTGCGATATAGAGCTATAGTTGAAAGAGGTTGATGTCAAAACTTGAAGTCGCGTTACTTGCTGAGCAAGAAATCTAAGGAAATTGCACTGAATGTGATTGATCTTCAAACTGAAGGCAGAAATTATGTGGATTTCTCGTATCCTGTTGAAGTTGAAGTTATGGATTGTAACAATGCTGAGGAATTTGAGTCTAGAAAATTGAAAGAGGAAGAAGTGATGGATGCTTTGAGAGACGTTGACGGGGTGAGTATGATTGGGATAAGTGGTATAGGCGGTGTTGGTAAAACAACAATGACTGAGAAAATAAGACAAAAGGCGAAACCAAGAAAGGTTGTTTAATGACGTTGTAATGGTAACTGTTAGTCAACAACCGGACTTCAAGAGAATTCACGATGAAATTGCAAGAGAAGTTGGGCTGACATTAGAAGGGAATAATTTGTGGAGTGATGGAGATCGGCTGTGTTCAAGGTTAATGGATCAAAACAGCAGCATCCTTATAATGTTGGATGATGTTTGGAAGGCTCTTGAACTAGAAAAACTTGGAATTCCCAGTGGTAGCAACAAAAAACATCAGTGTAAAGTGATATTCACAACGCATTTCCGATCTGTTTGTGAAGCAATGGGAGTTCAGAAGATCATGGAAGTTGGATCCTTTTCAGTCAGAAAGTTGGTAATTCAATTGACGATCTTTCTCTACTTGACGTAGCAAAAGATGTCGCCAAAGAATGCAATGGTCCGCCGCTTGCAATTATTACAGTTGCAGGAGCACTAAAAAAGCATAAAACCAAGCGTTCGTGGGACTGTGCCCTTGAACAATTACATGGTGCGGTAACAATAAATATCCCTGAAGTTCTCACAGAGGTGTATAAACCTCTAAGGCTAAGCTATGATTAATGAAGCTAAGTACCTCTTTTTGCTTTGTTCCTTGTTCGGGGAAGATAGTGATATCCGTCCTGAAGAATTACTTAGTTACGGAGTGCAGCTAGGCATGGAAATCAGTAATTTAGAACATGCAAGAAATATGGCGTGTTATCTGTTAGAAATATTGAAAGATTGTTTCTTGTTATCCCAAGGTTCAAACAAAAGTTATGTCAAAATGCATGATGTGGTTCGTGATGTGGCTATAAGTATTGCGTCTGAGGGAGAGCATAACTTTATGGTAAGTCACCATGTGAATTCGGAAGAGTTCCCAAGAAGAACTCCATATGAGCATTTCAGTCACATGTCAATTGTTGCAAATAAATTTGATGAGCTTCCTAGCCCAATCGTTTGGGAGCTTCTAATGTTAAAACTCTGTTCTGTAAAGCCATTCAAATTACAGGACAATTTTTTCGATGGCATGAGTAAGCTCAACGTCTTAAGCCTGAGTGGATATGCGGACTCCATTTGGTCTTTTCCAGCATCCATTCAGAGGTTGTCATGTCTGAGAACGCTGTGTCTGAGTAGTGTACGGTTGGATGACATATCCATCATTGGAGAATTTGTCCCTTTAGAAATTCTCAGCATACGAGATTCTCAGTTAGAGGAGCTGCCAGTGGAGATAGGAAAATTGACGAATCTAATTCTGTTAGAGTTTTGGAACGAGAATAAATCACTCGAAAAGGATTTCAGCAGGGGTCTTATCAAAACTAACTCGATTGGAGGAACCACAAATGATGAAAGTTAAACATTGTAGTTACTCCACCTTGACTGAAGTAGAATCCTTATCGAAATTGACTGTGCTGACACTAAGTGAATGTTTCGAAGATTTGATCTACACAGTACACTCTTACAGTGGGTGAAGCTTACAGAGCGACCTCAAACATGGATGATTACGACAATAATATTGCTTTAAATGTCACCTGAGACTGCCCTGTTGGGTGACTGGATCTGCCACATGTTGAAGAAGAGTGAAGTTGTACATTCAACCGGAAAGGGCTCTAATAATGTATTGACTGAGTTGCAGATGAATAAACTTCAGAACGTGAAATGTCTCAGCTTCTATGATTGTGATTTAGTCACACATTTATTGACATCTCTCGGAGTACACATGAAGTAATCAAGTTCCCGAATTTATGAGTTGGAACTTCGATCTCTGGAATTCTTCACACACTTTTGCAATGACAATGTTGAGGGCATTGAATTACCTCAGTTGCGGAAAATGAAGCTCAACAGATTACATCAGTTCCAAAATTTCTGGCCTACAGCCAACAACTCCATCACTCACTCGAATCCTCTTTTCCATGAAAAGGTTTGCTTCTACTTTTTTACATGATCATTATAAAAAAAATTACTCTCTTTTTTTCATCGTGAATAATTACTTGAGCACTAAAGATCCTTTATCTGAAGCACTGTTCTAACGATGATATATCAGCTCTAAATCGCAAAATATTACTAGTATATTTCATATATTTGCAGGTTTGTTGTCCGAACTTGGAAGTTCTATTGATTGATAAAGCTAACAGCACAAGTGTTCTATGCTCTCATCAACTTCCAGTGGCCTACTTCAGCAAACTAGTACAATTGAAAGTATATAGTGTTGTGGAATTGAGAAACTTGATGTCTCTGTCAGTGGCCAGAGGCATTTTGAATCTCCGATTACTACAAATAGTAGCCTGCATATCAATGGAAGAAGTGATCACGGAAGAGGAACAACAAGGAGAAGAAATCATGATTAATGAGCCTTTATTTTCCCCTGTTGGAAGAGTTGTACCTTTACGATCTGCCAAAGCTGAGGCATTTCTTTATGAATATGACTTCCCATTTCTCAGAGTAGTGTGGATTCTTAACTGCCCTGAAATGAAGACGTTTGTCCAATAGGGATCTGATTTGTGAGTACACCGAGTCTTGAAAGTGTGAACAATGGCGATGAGATGAAAGTTGTTGATCTAATAAAGCGATTGTTCAATTCTACTTTGGACCAAAATATGCATTTGAATTTGCTCGTTTCCACTTTGGGGTAAAATACTTCCTACCAAAGGCATCTTCCTTGAACTCGAAACATTTAATTAAATAATTAAAAAAAAAACGCACCAAGTCAAGAATTGGTGACAAGCCTATTCCGTGAGCTTTTCTTTTTTCTGAGTAATAGTACAATTATTAGTTGGATGAACCAAGTCATTTATTGTAGAGTATTGCCCTGTGAGTTAACACTTCAACTAATTCTACGAGGTATCTTTTATCTTCCACAAGCACGGCCAGGAACAATCGAGGGCAGAAGAAAAAAAGAAAGAATATAAATCCAGTTCAACCCTTCTTTTTTGACTCAACTCACCTATAAGGCAAACGAGTAGGCTACAGCTACAAGTTTCATAAGTACCTGAACTTAACAAAGCATAATCAACACACTTTTAAAACCTGGTAAATTTTGCATGTTAGTTACAATTGTTAACAATGAGATTCATCTGAAATTACCTTTATAGATAACCTGATAGATCATTAGTGCATATAACTTTAAACTATAAATAGCAAAGGCACAAACGTCAAGCTGTTTGTCAAAAAAAAGTTATTAAGGTAAACAATATTGTATTATGTTTAACACTAAATATATTTTAGCAGCAATGGCAGGTCTCCAGTAGCTATAGTGCAAAGGTTAAAAACAATGAGATGCCTGATCAATGCTAAGAAAGAATGTATTTCAAAAAAGACCCAATTCTACAAGGAAGAATTCACTGAACGTGTCAATGGCAATATCACACATCACAGCGGATCCAAGATGGTCATCACAGGTGAGGCAAGGGTCCAAGTACTCGTCACCTGATTTCAGTAGAACTATATTTAACCCAGGGTATGCATGTATACAAGATTCATAGGAGGCTAAGTTGATATCCAGCTCTTCAGAGATAGTTTCGGGCAATCTCCTCATATGCTAACAGCTCCCAACAAAAAATAGCTGATGAAGGTGTATGCCTAACCCATTAAAAGTTGTCCATGCCTTACTATCAATCCATCACTGACAAGTATTATGCATCACTCTTGCATTGCCTCGAGGTTAAACAAATTTCCTTCATTAACCAAACAATAGAGATATACACACCAAACTATACTCAGTACCCCTACCTCAGATACGGTTCTACACAAGATCACAAACAGGAAAACTTGTGTAAACTTTGTCACCCATACCTTCATGAAACTTCAGCAGCAAATGCAGGTATTAGCCCATAATATACTAGTTAATATTGCAATCACTTAAAAACTGATTTTCCTGGTTTAGGAACGTCCGCCAGGAAACTGTATAATCACGGATGCCCAACTCAAGCCAAGGTTTCATGTTACCATTATAATGCAGTACTCTCGCATTCTTAACAGATTCAATATCAACTCCATAGTTATAACCCAGTCCTGATAATACCCACTTATCATCAAGAGCGTAAACTTCACCCTGAAAAGTAAGCAAGCTTGCACGCAATGTAACAGCCTCTTCTGAATTCATCTGCAAGTTAAATAAAAAGGTGACAGTGTAAGTCAATATAAAAATAGCACGATGATAAATGGAGACAAGAAAAAATGTATTAGTCCATTAAAACAATCTAACATGAAATGCCACGTGAGTCATTTGTATTTACATAGATAAGATTACCTAGCATAGTCTCACTACCCAAAACCCCCAAAGCCCTGCCCATTAACCATAAAACTTGAGTGTGTAAAACAAATGCTCAAAGGGTTACGTTCAATTGCTGTAGACTTTGATGCCCATAGCTTGTGGGGCTCAAAAGGGTTACGTTAAATTGCTGTGACTTTGATGCCCATAGCTTGTAGACTCCAAAAATCCACACCCAAAAAAAAAAGAGGCCCAAAACATGGGACGTCTTTATCTAGGTTGGTGGCAGCTCACATGCCCACAAAAACATCATAACATTAACATAGAGAGAAAAATAATGAATGTGTTAAGTATTTTTCCACCTTTTTACGCTTCTCATATTTTGTGGCACTGGAAAGGATTAATCCCTGACTATAAAAATCTACTCCTATAAAAATGAACGGGGGCTCAAAGGACAACAATTACATTATTTAGGCAGGTAGAAGACCACATACAAGAAGCAACATGAAATAATCTTGAATATTTGTATTGAGAGAGCAATAATGAACACAATAGTAGTTTTCCATCATTTCTGTTTAGGTCTCCTAGCGCACGCAAATGACTTTTTTCTTTGTCCACTTTTGTATTGGGTATACTATTATTCACCATTCATATTAAAGGGAAAAAAACATATATAACATTAATATTAAAAGTCAACATATTACCCAGAATGGGTATAAAAATAATTATTGTGTTACTTTGGTCACCGATCACAGTGTGGCTTGTGAAAACAACTTTACCCAAATATATATCTGATTTCAAGTTTCATTCAAATTCAAAGCAAGTCTTCTAAATTTGTTTAATTTTAGCTCATTTCCTTTTCCTTGTAATTGAAAAATAAGTTGTTTCCGGGTTTAAAACTCATGATTAATGGGGTTGCCACTCTACCCTTCTCCAATTAAATATTAGGTGTAGGACTCAAACTCATGGTGCACGCCCTTCTACACATCCTATGTTGTACTACATTTGCCACTGGTTGTATCAAATGGCTAGGCTAGCCTGCTGGCATGGCACTGAGTGTATTGCCAACTCGTGTTGCGACTCATTTGATATAAATACAATGTTGAGAATGTTGTCCCGTAAGCTAAGTGAGCACTTACTATAGTCTTGTCTCTCCAATAAAACTGATACCCAATGTACCTCCACTGTGTGCAAGGTTGAGTGAGGGAAGCTGATTGTTGCTCAGGCAAATGGGGCGGGGGCGGGGGGTTATGGGATTGAAGTATGTTGTGAGGGAGAAAATCCATCTCAAGAAATGAGATATGTATGACTAAGATGATCTCATATGTATGTCATCCATATGATGCCCTCAATTGTCACTGCAAGCCAGTTCGGACACCAGAGTTATCAAATATATATATGTTGATCTTGATCATCTCATATTGATTAATAGTTATGTAGTTGAGCTCTTTAGATGTTAATCATCTCATTTTTTAAGTAGTTATATGGTTGGATTTCTTGAAATTGTTGAGTTATCTCATTGTGTAGTCATATTGATTAATAGTTATGTAGTTGAACTCTTTAGATGTTAATCATCTCATGTTTCTAAGTAGTTATATAGTTGGATTTCTTAAAATTGTTGAGTTATCTCATTGTGTAGTTGAATTTTTTATGTTGAACATGTCATATTGTTAATATGTATATGGTTGCATATTTAATATGTTATTTTTATGAAAAAAGAAACCACAACTAGTACACTTTGGGTGCACAGATAAATCCCCCGCTCCTATGTAATAGCTCGTAAACCACACGGGAGAGGAAATCTGCAATAGGCAAGCCCGGTACGACGAGCTTGACCCAGAAGGTAAACCCCATGCTTTTGCTGGCAAGAGGTTTCGAATTTGAGACCTCCAACATGGAAGTCCCAAGCCCAAACTATTGGGCCACCCTGAAGGGTTTCATATGTTAATCATCTCTTGTTTTGCTAAATATGGATTTTTACTGTGTTTATCATCTTAATGTGTGTAGTTGGGTTGTCCATATTAAAAAGATTTTTCTAATTGCAACTCTCTTGTGATAAATTTACTAGGTTTAATTTCAGTTATTTGATATAGTTGCTATCCTATAATGACTAGTCTCGGCAATGATATCACATATTACTAAAAGATCCAACAAAGTTATTACCATGACCTCCCAAAAATTGTTGCCGAACTACCTTTTTTCATAAACCTTGTAACGCTTAGGGGTCGTTTGGTAGGGAGTATTAGGAGAAATAGTCCATATATTGTGTATGATATTATTCAGTACTATGTTTAGTAAGAATTTGAGCATATGTATAGCTAATCCATGGATTAGCTATACGCCCTAAATGGTATTAGAGAATGTATTACAAATACCTTCCATTTGGAGGTATTAGTAATACATAGGATTTAATAATTAATACCATGGGTAAGTCTATGTAAAGACAATATCCCTCAAATCATTTCAATCACTTTATTTAATGTTCTTAATTTTATGTTTTATATTTGTACTAAAAAAATTAGCTTACAAATTATTTAGAGAGAGTTATTTGTTACCAAACACCCCCTTAAGTGATAAGTCCCTTACTATCTCTCCATCTTTGACACACATCCACGAGTTCTTAACAAAGTGATTGTATGTTGGGCAATCCATATCAGTAGCCAGACAAAGTCCTATCTCCATATATATAAAGTGATACTTAGACTTTGAGCCAACTTGATTTCTTTTATTGAAGACAACCCAACTTAATGGTTACCCGACATAGTTTGACCATTTGCTCCCTAACAACCGTACATTTGATGTATTTTTTTGTAATTAATGTAGCTTCCTTTTTTTAAAAAAGTTTGTTTTGGAGTCATGAAGAAGGATATTGTTTTGACTAGGATAGATTATGGGAAAAAATCTTTAAAGAACTAACAGACTTCCGTATTTGATGTAGTCTGTGTTCTTTAGTTTTTTAGGGGTCATGAAGCAAGTATATTGTTTTGGCTTGGGTAAATTATGGGAAATTTTTTAAAAAAATGTTTTGTTCTTTAACTTTAAAGTACTGTAATTATGTCATGTTTCCTTCCAAAGATCATATAATTGTGTCATAAGAAGCTCTATGGAATTTTTTCTAATGGCTATTGGTTTGGCATTCCCTAAAGCTTCAAGCTTCCCCTTTTTTTGGTTCCTGTGAAGCTACAATGCTATTTGTTCTTTTTATTGAGCTATCAAAGTTGACTTTCTTTTTTTGAATTTGATTTGGGTTGTTATAGTGAAGTTGCATATGTAGAGCAATTATCCTATTTGGTGGTTTAAGAAGTCATTTTTGTGAATTAAACCCGATTTTTTTTTAATTTTACATAGAACTTGTTAATTAAAGTCCAATTTTTATTTTTCTGGTTTCAAAGAATGTCTTCTGTAATTGTTGGATTTTCCAGCTAAGTCCGAGGATAACTTGACTTTGCCAATAGAAAGATGAAAAGTTAACTCAACTGTGTGTATATATTAGGAAATAGGTTTATTGGATTAGTTGGGTCGGGTAGAAGAAACATACTAGGAGAAAATTTTAATTGGGATAAAAATATAACCACTTAGGTGCCACATAGCGCCAAGTAAGATCATAAGGTGGGGGCATGAGAGTTAACAATTCAAAGGTAAATATGTGTCCAAAGTTAGAAAGCAAGGGCAAATATGTCAAAAAGTATGAGGGTAAATATAATCTTTTTCAGAGAGTCAAGGGCAAATATGACCCTTTTCGGTATCCTTAATCACCTAGTGTAAGCTACAGGCACACCCTAGAAGTGGATATATTAGAAATTATGATTGTCAATGGGACTGTGGACATGAATTTACTAAGAGTCCCAACTACATTGTGGGAGGAATCAACAAAACTTAAAAATATGGAGAAGCACTCTAGAAAGTAACAATTTGTTGATCATTTTGGGGGCAAGTAAAATAGAAATCACTTTTACTTGCAAAAAATTGATTTGTCATGTTGTGGTATTATTTCAAAGTAGACATAGAGCAATAGAACAATGACAAGCTAAGTTTCTAACCGTATTAACCTCAACAGATGAAGATAAAGAAGGAAATATTTTACTAGCCTTTGCCTTACACCTTGCAGGCAAAAGTTGTTGAAAACAATAAATGTATATCAAAAGATAGTGTCACTGACCTCTGTTACCAACTTCAGATATGTTCCAGAAATATCTTGTTCCCTCCACCTCACTAGATCAATAACATTTAATCCAGACATCCAAGCACAAGATGTTTCATCCAATCTCTTGTCAGCAAAAAGTTTCTGCAGTTGAATCAGTCTAACTGAGCAGCACTGAACCGCACCATTCACTTTCCCGTCCATATTGATGCCCCATAAGACTGACAAGTCTCTTTGCACAATAATGTCATCATCCAAGACAACGACTTTCTTCAAACTAGGGAATATCTCAGGAAGAAGATAATGGGAATGCGAAAAAACAGACAGGTATTCTGTTGTTGGCGGCCCATCAACCTTGTGGAAGGAGACACGATATTCTTCAGGCAAGGAAAGATGAATAGACGTTGATGCCTTATTATTTTCCAGCTTATGATCTTCAATATTCAACACCTCAACTGTCGCCTCCATATACTTATTCCTCGAGAACCATAACTTCATGGCAAAGTAATTCTGTTTATCTGTTACCACATGAAATACTTGATTCTCACTTTCCTGCATATAGAAGAAAACACGATCAGAAAAACTGATTAAGTGTTGACAGCAGAAAAAAATTGCAATTGAAGAGAGAATATACAAACCATACTTTTGCATGTGTTACGGTGGAGTTAATTACAGCAGACGATGCTAGCACATTGCTGGAGAATATAACGAAGTGGCGAAGATCTGGATTCAAAAGTCTCTCTACCAATGACTGATCAATATCAGGAGGAGGGTCTCTAAAATACTCTACAGTTAATCGCATTGACAGGCAATGATGACTCTTGGGCATGGTTTGAACAGCTAGTTGGTAGAGGAAGGCACTCTGTCTCATATGGAAAGTAGCTTCATCTTCAGTAAGATCTACTAGTTGTCTGAATTTCTTGTCTACATTACTGCAATCTACGTGGCATGCCTTTGCTTGAGCAATTACAGATTCCATCTTAGGTAGCTTCTGATCAATCCTGGTGAACAAGCAAAAGCATGAATTTTTCAGTGAAAAGTTTACGGAATATAATGAAAAGATGAATTTACAGATTTCTTCTAGCTACAGGCAAAGGAAATAAGTGAAAGACAAGAAACAAGTCGTTGAGATACTCCTATGCCTGATTAAAGCTAACAAACAAATGCAACAAAAGTAATTAGACTAGAAGGCAGATTAAAAGTGAAGCTCAACTACTGGAGTTCGAGCTAGGCCAGGCTAAAAGTAATTTGATTCAAAGAGGTGAATGTTAGGGATCTTCGTATGTGACCACTATACTTCTATTAGCATCACTAAAGGAAGAGAATAACAGAGAGGGAAAGAGATGGGAGAAGAAGGAAAGGAGACAATCAAGCCTGATAAGTGGATACTGAGGAATGTTGAACTCTGAATCTAGTATCAAACAATTCACTCCTGGTCTATTTGAGTTGAGCTGAGGTTAAGTCTAAATTGCATGAAGGCATAACATCTAGACAGCAATAACCAACAACAGAGGTCAAAGACTCTTCCCATAACATATAAAGCAATCTACTACACACATTTCACAATCTTAATCACAAAAAGATAAGATTAAACATTTTGACACTACATGATCATTTAAAAAATAAGACTGAGTCCAAACATTTATTTTGTTGAATTGTTGCAAGGAATCTATTTGTACATACAGAGGAGGAAGATCTTTGTCCACCGTAGTTACACTAAGCACCCGCTCAAAGTCTTGAATGTTTTGCTTCATTTCATGCGACAGCTTGTCAAGGGCCGGAAGCTTCGCGATGCTAGGGTAATATGCCCGAGCCACATACAACAAGTCTTTCATCTTTCTAACAGTGAAATCATTCACTTTCTCCTTATGATTGCGACGCCATAAACAGTAGCTCCCAAATTTTAGCTCACATAATTTCTCACCCTCATCAATGTCTCTGATATTCTCAGTGGCACCAGGCGTAGAACCAACATTGGTGCTCTGCTTTTTTTTCCCCAAGTCACCAGCACCTATGCTCTGCTTTGCTGTTGCCAAGTCACCAACACCTGTGCTGTGCTTTGTTTTTCCCAAGTCACCAACATCTCTGCTCTGCTCTTTTTTTCCCAAGTCACCAACAACAGTGCTCTGCTTTGCTTTTGCCAAGTCACCAGCACCTGTGCTCTGCTTTGTATTTGCCAAGTCACCGACACCTGTGCTGTGTCTTTTTTTGGTTAAGTCGCCAACACCTGTGCTCTGTTACACATATCAAAGGTTCATCTTATTTTGTATCAGATGGAGACAAAAAGAATTAAACAACATGTAAAAATTCATTTTTGTGATGAGAATTGCAAAAAAATAAGGTTGCAGATCTACATACATTTACTCCTAAGCGTTCTTTGGGCAATCCATCCAACAAAGGAAATCCTGGAAAAACAATATTGCAGAGAGGAATAGCTTAAAAATCTAAATAGATCTAAAGATTAGTTAATCATGGTTGATGCAAACTAATCAACTATTTCCTCTGTTCCAAAATTATGTGTTTGTATTTAGTCTGAACAAATCTCTTAAATTATTAGCTTCATCCACTAAAAAGGAAAGAGACAGGATCATATAAAAAGAGAAGGCTTAACACCAAAGGGTGTGTTAGTATGAAAGAAAATGTTCTCCATGGAAGATAAATGAATTTCTTATTTATTTTTGGTGTTTGCCGAGTAAGAAGAATGTATTGTCCCAAACATATTATATATAATCGGCAAGCACTATGGGGGTCGAGATGGGGTGTGTTGGAGGGTGGAGAGGAGACAATTAATGTGGAATGCCACTTATGGAACTTGTTAACTCTATCTACACTAGGAAAGTCATTTTCCTCATTTTTTAAGGATATTGTTTTCCAAAAAATTTACCAACCAAACATGGGAAAACTGGAAAGTATTTTTGGTCATACCAAACACACCGTGATTGCTACGTGAATGTGCATATTTATAGAATTTGTCTACATCTATTTACGATTTTTTTTTAATATATAGCATGCATAGACATAGTTACACATTATAAAGCGAGAGACATGTTCCTCTTCAGAGAATTAAGTTGGAATATCCTACCAGCAGTCTTGTTCTCCGCTTTCCCGACAACAATATTTTCCCCAAAATCCTGAGAAAATGGTGAAGAAAAATCAGTCAAATAACTTATACGTGAAGTAAAGACCGAAACTTTGGAGGATGTATCCTATACCCATTTTAACTGTAAGATGTGATTTCTTCCAAGATCAAAAACACTAGTGATAAACGAAAGCTGAAATTAGGGGTGTCAAAAATGAAACTTAACACAGGTAATCCGCTCAACCCACCCAGAATTTCAAGGGTTGGGCTCAAGATAATTTGAATTGGATTCAATCTCAACTCATTCAAGCCTAACCAATTTGAAGAGAATTCTCAATTGAGTCCAATTCAATCTCCAATTTCAACCCGTTTTAAAACTTTTTATTAACATATGTTCCTATATTGAAGGTATAAATTATTATCTGTTTAACATCTTTTAGGATTTATCTATCTATTTGTTACTTTTTTGAAAAAAAATCTTGAGCGGGTATTCAAATTGTGATTATAAAAATTAAATATCAATATGTTAAATTATTGAGATTAATCGGGTCAAGACCCAACCCGTTTTCAGCCCATTTGAGCCTAACCCATTTGAGCCCAAGTAAACTTGGGCGGGTCAAGACCCAACCCAAATTCTATTTCAGCCCATTTTAATATTTTCAATTTCAACCCAATTGCCCATTTGACAACCATAGCTGAAATTATTGACAAGCTTGAGATGTGTGGACTACTTTAATTGTTCAATGTTCAAACTACCTTTCCGTGTCTCAATAATGTCAGCTTTCTTTCAAAAAGAAGCTGAAATTATTGAGAACTACCTTTGCGTGTCTAAATTATGTCAGTTTTCTTTCAAAAAGAAGCTGAAATTATTGAGACAAGCAACAGAAGCTTGAACATTGAACAACTAATGTAGTCCACATGTCTCAAGCTTCTCAATAATAGATATTTTTAACATCAAGCTTCATTCTCTCTCTTCTTTTTTAATAAAGCATAAAACTCATCTTCTTTTTCTCCTCCCTCATCTGATAGTATGGTCTGATCAGTATTTTTATTTTTTTCATAACCGTGGTGTCTAGGCTAGCTTGTGCGTACCTCGACTATTTCCACGGGATATCAGCCACCTCTAACCAACAACAAGTACTAGAGTTAGGTACCAGATATAACTCAGTCCACCAAGGCCAAGACACCAAGACAGATGGGAAAAATCACATACTGTTTTTGTCTCTGCTAGATTTCGAGCTTGAGATCTCATGGTTCTTAACCCACTTCATTGACCACTATGCCACACCCTTGGGTGTGGTATTTTAGAACTTTTAAGTGAAGAATTGGTATCATGAAGTAAAATAAGAAAGCAAAATGGGTGATAAGCAAGATCAAACATCTACAGCAAACTAATTAGAGTAAGAAGACCCAAATGAGCAACTGTTGAATACTGATTGACGAAAATGATATTGTTACAAATGTCTATTCATGTGAAACTGCAAGCTTCTTAGTTAGATCAGTACCTATGCATGAGTCAACAATTGTGTTATATAGGTAAATCACATGCAAGTTCAACAAGAGGATACTAAAACTTCTAATATCTATCCACACAAAGCATCAATAAATCTAGAGCATTCACTTGCATGGTTGCCTGAATTGGTTGTAACATTATTCTTTAAGTTTTTCGTTATTTGCTACTATAATAAGCACATTGGCAACTTCTCATCCGTGATTCCTCCATAATTGCTTATCTTATGTCTTCTTGTCTTAAATTGCTTGTCTTAAATTGCTTGTGAAGTAGTTTCAACTCTATATAGTAAATTACAGCCTTGTATTTCAAAGTTCAAAATGTAAACGAATTATCACAAGAGTCGAGCCAAAAAGAAACTTCTATAGTATCTTTTATCCCGATTGAAAATTATATAGAGAAATGTTTACCTTCGAAATCATTCCAGAGAAGAGAAGTGTTAAAACAGATAGTCAAGTAGTTAAAGAAAGGCACCTGGAAATAGTTTTACTATGATATAGACTATTGTTGCAATACACTTGGCACAAAATCCGCACAACAAGCGACAATGAAACTAAGTAGAACCAAATAAAAGATCCTAGTTTGATTTCAAAAAAAAAATCCTAGTGGTGTTACTTTTCATATGTTCATAAAATGACAAGAATACTCCCTGTGACTTAAAATTTGAAGGTATCAGGATTGATGTCAATGGTGAAAAAAGGGAATGTAAATGTAGGGAAAGCTTGCATGTCTGAAATTCTCAGGTACTGCTTGAAAATTTCAAGTTTTGTAAAGAGAAAAAACAAACTAAAGGCAAACATCCTCTACATTGTTCAAAATCACATCATTATAAAACTTTTTTTTAATAACCGAGAAATCTGCCTGGGACTAAACTTGGGGAACAAATGGGCCCTTCCCTCTACCCTTCTCCACTTAAATACCAGGTTTCGCTTTGCATGGTGTGGGGCTTGAACCTGCGACCTATGCCACAAATCCTCCACCTTTTGCCACTCGAGCTAGGCCTTGGGGGCCATCATTGTGAAACATTGAATTTGTGCATCTATCGTCTTTACATGTATGCTCATGATCTATCATTTAAACTGCCAACATCTAGTACCCCAAGATTTCAGACACTAAACATATCTGGCAGTAATTAGTTGGGTTCTCGAGGGTGCTTAAGCCCTGAAGCGAGACTCAAAACGTGTTGACGTTTCACCTCATTTGATGTGCGCTTCACTGTCATCATCAAGGACATGCTTTCCCTTGCCAATGAGCCTCTTCTGAAGAGGCAACATGAAGCAATTGATATTACATTTTATTGTAAAAAAATTCAATTTCCGTTTCATGTATGTCATATATGCTTATAATTTGACTAATAATATATATTTGTATTTTTTTCTCCCTTTGCACTTTTTTTACATTAAAGCCCACACTTTGTTTTCGCTTAAGGAACCAACAGACCTTAAGAGCTTTTTTGTGCTTTTTGCTTTTGATAAAACTGGCAATTGGAAGATTAAAATATCTTCGGCTCATACAACGGGTCAAGTAGTACAAAAAGAGTGATATTGAGAAGCTTTGCTTTAAAATTAGCTCCAAGTGAATTAAAAGGTTGCACACTTCCTATATGTGCCCCGCATCAAAGGGAATAAGAGGGCATCTTCAAATCTCTTCAGAGAAAAAAAAGGGGGGGATTTTTCAAATCAAATAAGCTTCAATCAATAAAATGATATTCCAATAGAAGTTTCATGAAAAAGACATCAATATATGCTATATGGAGACTCATAACATGAAAAGTTATTGCTTTAACTCTCTCGGATCATCAGCAGGTCGAATGGTTAGGTGAATGGCGGAAAAACTTGTTCTCCAAATGAGACATATATTATTTTCAGTCCTTTCAAAATCCTTTTTCTCCAACCACGATGTGACATGACATCTTTCTTTCCCTTCAACTTATCCTTGTCTTCTCTTTGTTCCATTCATATTCCAACAAATACATCCAATTACACCTAAAACTGGAAGACACTAGTAGCGAATAATTTTAGGTTTCCTACAAAGTACCATGGAGATTTTCAGCAAATTTGTGCATTTCAAGCAGCAGTGCGGTGCGTCCTCCCAAACATGAACTTTATACTCAATGCATTTTTCAGATACAAAACTATATTTACTAGTCTTTAGCTTGTGCTGGAACGACTATAAACTAGACAACCCACACAAGTTTTAATCATCAGTTCTTACCATGGAATGACAAATGGAATGTGGTTGCTACTTGATTCAATATTAGCTCTAGATCTAGTACTACATGCAAACAGCAAACTATGTGGAATGGAAAAGGAAAAAAATAGTGACAGGACCACTTTCTTAAATCATGGAAGTTGCATTTGCATTAGTATGATAGTTACAGTTGCCATGTTAAGTACAACTAATTGACAACATATGAAGTTTTGTTATTAGTTATTATTGAAGGTCTGAAAATTAAGTTAATTATCAGTGTTATAATATTGAGAAAATGGGAGAAATAAGAAAAAAGAATGGCATGCATCTGTTGAAAGGTTTAATAGCATATCTCAAGTAGTTTAACAAACAAGGATTAGCACAAATCAAGCAGTCTGCAGTCCTATATGTATAGATCTTAAACCTTCTTGATCATCACCTTATTCAACTATCAGTAGTCAGTCACATACTCATAGAACCATCCTTCTTCTTCACTAAGTTAATGATTACAGCATTTTGTTTATATGACCATTAAAATTACTTTATCAGTTGAGGTAACAACGGATATTGGGAAATCATGATTTAAGATTTGATTATTGCTTCTTATGCTTCAATACATCTAGTATCCTATCTTTCTCAGTTTGATCTTCAGTCATACATCACAGAGAGTTTCCAAGTTTAAATACTTTTTATTTGCAACAACAAATTTTGTATAGAAAAAATAGCAGCCAATAAGACCAACAAATATGAGGATGAATTTAATTTGAAAAGGAGAGCATGAGGCACACCATTAACAATATGAAGGTTGTAATAACACTCATCACAAGATATGGTAACCTATTCACAGTTAAAATCAATTTTAAGGAGAACTTTCCAGAATAGCCTGACTAGTAAGTTTATGTGTATGGGCATTCTCAAGGTAAAACATCCATCATAGCAATTCACCCTGTCAGTAACAGTCTATTCAAATTGCAAAAGTAAAACTCTTAACAAACATAATCAGAAAACAATTGAAAAAAGAACCTTGGGAAGAGTTGGTTCCAATCTTTGCATTAGGTCATCCACATGTGTTGACTCATCATCCTGCAACAAGATACCGGATAACTGTTAGATGCGTCATGACCACCTTTTTCTCTTTGTGTACACACAAAATGCAACAATGAACAAAAATATGTTGCCTAGCATATCCACTTTCTTCTACTAGCTAAAAATTTCAAAATGACCAATGATGAAGGCAGCTCATGAGGTTGCTTATAGAGAAGAAATTACCTCCGACTGATTCTCAATCTTAGGAGTATAATGTCGACCGTAGATTCTAAGTCCCACCTGATTCCAATCAGGAGTTCCCCAGTTTAGAAAATCAACAAGTAGTTACTAAATAGCAGTATCATTATAATGCTGCAGGTTACTTACTGAAGCTGAACTTTGTTGTGGTGTTGTATATCCTGCAAAAAGTAAATGCCAGATCAAGTTAGAGCAAAACCTTCTAAAAAAATGGCTAGAACTATAAAGCTTCATGAAGATATGTCTTCTTCCTAATCTATAATGACATTTTTTCTATCTCTCTTCTTCTTTTCTCTTTATACATATTAATATTCTCTTTTCGGCAGGGGCGATGGGGATCAGGAACCATTCATGCTATTGTCTGCGTTGCTAAACTTGAATGCTCTTCCTACCACATAATAGAAAAAAGGATTTAAACTTGAAATTTGCCCAAAAAAGGATAGAGATTGCCTAATTGCACTACAGATTTGCATTAGAAGAGAGCAGGTTCAAAACAACAATCATGGATCCAAATTGCAATGAAAAAAAGTTTTTAGCATTGAACAAGCGAAGAATCAGGGCTCATTACTATTACCCGAAGAGTGAAAACCGTTATGGAGGCCAAGCAGAAACACTAGAGGCACGAGCAATGAAAGTAAAACGAGACCCAACACCGCAATCACCAAACCTTTCCATCGCCTCTTCGCCGGAAGTATACCACCCTTCATCTCTTCCTCCCTTGCCTAATCCTCCTCCTTCTCCTCTCGTTTGCCTTCTCCACCTTCGCAATTCGCTTTGATTTGTTCTCCTTTCCCCAACTGCCAAACAGCGTTTGCTCCGAATCTACACAACACGACAATGTCCGTTTCCGGTAATCTGTATGTCCGGCGCCGTCGAAAGTAAATCGTCCGGCCGAGGCCCGGTGAGTGGAGCCGAGAAGTAGAGATCGATCTGATTGGAAAAAGTAAAAAACAAATAACAAAGCGTAAAGATCTGAGGGTCACTAACTATTTTGGTACTTTTTTGGATATGCCAATATAGTCCCTCAACTTTATATGATTGGAAAATAAATTACTCCCCAAATTTCATAAAAATAAATTAAAAAATAATTCTTTTTAAATTTGTCACGTGTAAAAATAAACTTTTGCTTATAAAAGAGCATAAAACTGGAAAATATTAAATAACCTACGCACTTATTAGTAATTCATTATTTGTAGAGTTCCAATATTTGCAAATAATGGTCGGTTATCAACCGTGACGAATCTAAAATTTTTAATTGAATTAAACACACAAACTTTCATATGAAGATTTGACATTTATTATATATGAATAAAAATTAATTTTAATCATATATTATTAGTTGGGATTCGAATGAACCCTAACATAAGACTCGCGCTGCCTCTGGTTATCAAATTTTGGACACCTCTATAGAGTGAGTTCTATTTGAGTTAGGTTCTTGAAGATTATTTTACTCTAAGAGTGTGTTTGGTATGAAGGATAACATTTTCTGGAAAATGTTTTCCAATTTTTTCATGTTTGGTTGGGACAAAAATTTTGAAAAATGTTTTCCAAATCAACTCATTTTCCTCAAAATTAAGGAAAATGATTTTCCTTCAAAAATTAAGAAAAAAATTTTCCAAAACTCTCCTCTAATTTCAAATTACATTTTTCTTTTGGGAGGGGGGACGTCAATTTTAAAAAATATTTTCAATTTAAAAATTTTATTTAGTCACCCGATCTCTGACCCACCCACCCACCCACCAGCCCCCATCCTCCTCTCCAAAAAATTAATTTTATTTTTTAAAAATATTTCCAACTTCAAATTTTTATTTTTAAACTCCTACCCCCCCTCCCCCGCCCACCCCCCCCCCGGCCACCCCCCAACCTCAACCCCCCCCCTCCCAAAAAAAATTAATTTTGTTATTTGAAAATACTATCAACTTCAAATTTTTATTATTTCACTCCTCCTCCCTTCCCCCTCCCACTACCCCCACCCCACCACCACCCCATAAAATAGTAATTTTATTTTTAAAAAATATTTTCAATTTCATAAATTATTTTTTACTCTAGTAAAAATAAAAGATGTCTCTCAAAAACATTTTTCATTCATAAATCAAACACTAAAAATCATTTTCGGAAAATATTTTCTACTCACCAACCAAACACGAGAAAATAAGTTTAAAATCTACTTGTTTTCCAGGAAAACATTTTCCATGGAAAACATTTTCCTTCATACCAAACACACCCTAAATTCTAACTCATGCCTATGTAAAAGGTACTCTCTATCTAACACTAGTTGTCCACTATTAACTTGATACACTCCTTAAAAACTATAAATAAAAGGATAATTTTATTATATCGCCCTTCGAATATAATAAATACAATATTGTCTTGAAAAATGTAATAAGAAAAATGACTATAATTAATGATAAGAGTAAATTAAGACTAAGAAATCGTTTGGTAGAGTGTGTAAGAATAATATTAAATAGAATGTATTAATAATGTATGCATAAATTAGTTATGCATGTACAAGCTATGCTTGCATTAATTATATATTGATTATTTTAATGCATTGTTTGGTTTGATGCACTACATATAGTATGTATTGCGTCAAAAAAATTATATACAAAGATACCCTCTATTTTTTTATCATTTTAATGCATGCATAAAAATCATTGCATTGTAATACCTAGAAATTCATGATATTAGCAAGAAATTCATGATATTAGCAATGCACACCTTAATATACAATAGAGTGTAAAACTAATGGTTGAACACCAAACAAGGTACTGGTAATATACAAGATTAATACATGCATTATTTTTCCTAATACGCCCTACCAAACGACTATTTTATTTCATAAAACGGACAAGTATTGTTGGACATTCCAAACTAATATATTGGACAACTATTGTTGGACAGATAGAATATTATAGAGTATTCTCTTAAAAAGACATTTTGAATGTTTCACAAATTCATGGGATGAGATATTTATAAAGAGATTAAAATATGACAAAATTGTACCCACATTAATTTATCAAGAAAATTTTTTATTTCTTCAGATTTTGCTCGTGTTGATTTATTTCCATATATTTAAAGTTCGTCGCAAACAATGACAATATTGGTGAAATCTCTAGTTCACAAAATTTAAGTTTTGTTAAGAAAACTATGTTTTGAAACATAATTTTACAATAACATTGTCACGACCCCAGCCGTCGTGATTGACACTCACACTAATCTTCCAGTGGGACAACCATTACTACAATCCAAACTAATGAATTCAACCAAAAACTAAAGCATTTAAAGATATGAAAATAAATTTAAATGTCTAAGAAAATGAAAATAGGGAGTTTCCCATAAACTCCAACCGAAGTCGAACAACCAAATCCCAAAAAAAAAGTCTAAAACCTGAAGTTTCAAAGTATCAAAACTCGAACAAGGATCACAAGTCTAACGAAATGGGTACAACCCAATTAAACACAAGAAAATCTAAAGTACTAGTCTAAGTCCAAAGATGTGGACATAAACAAAAAGAGAACTCGTGGCAGCCCAAAAGAACTGGCTCACCCTTGAATTCGATCGATCACCGGTCTTCAAAATGAGGTCTGACAGTAGCCGCCTGAAGATACCTTGTACTCAACAAAGAAAGAGCAAGTGCAGTTTCAGTACACAATCACAGTGTACTGGTAAGATCACGCCGCTATCTCAATAGGTGAAACACATACAAGTCATTACAACAATAATAAACATGCATACACCGAACATATACAATATCAATTATCACTTACAAACAACTTATAATTTCACAATCTCAAATATACAATTATGCCAAGCCATTTGTCCTCTCATGGAACCTATACCCAAACTGTTCGTGTACTGTGGTACCCGCTCCAAGCTAGTGTGTCGGACGTGACATCCGATCCCACATATTCGTCGGAACGTGGCACCCGAATTCGAGTTAATGTGTCAAAATGTAACACCCGATCCATTCAACAAGTCACAATCACAATCAGAATATACATTCTCATAATCATACAATCAAGTCATAATTCATGGCATACAATTATTCAATCATCTTCATTAACGATTAATGTGATCAGTAAAGCAACATTCAAATACATACATGCATTATAATGAAGTAATTACAAATACATATCACACCAACATGAAATCATAACTATCACCTACCTCGAACAAAGTTTGAATCCCCTAAGAAATTTGATTATTCTCTTTCATGATTCTTTATTTCCGCTTGTTCTTAGTTTACAAACAATCAATATAACACGAGGATCATTAAACAAGACTTAATTACCCAAATTACAATCAACATTATCAATCCTAGACCAAACCCATGAGCTCAATATCCAAACTAGGGTTTTTCGCAACATAAATCTCATATCAAAACCTTCCCTCATCGATAACTACACAAGAAATTAAGTTTTACGAATCAAAAATTATTTTTGGAGAGTGAAAATCTTACCTTTAACCTCAAGAATGGTGGAAAATTGTCAAGAAAAGACACGGGGTCGTTCCTTATCTCCGAAGGTTGAAAAGTGCATAATAAAATATTTTTGGGATTTGTTTCCGACTTGAGTCACATTTGTCCTCCCATAGTGGTCCTCATCTTGCTACAGCGACTCCGTCTCGCTGGAAAAATCTCGTCTTAGCGGCTTGCACAGAAATAATGAGCAAATATAAGAATTTCAAACCCCCATTTCACAACACAGTTTCATCCCATGACACTCAGAAAATACTCGTTCATGCTATGATCAGTTTTAAAAGTTTTACTCACCCGAATTCAGTTTCATAAAATCGTACGAATTTATCAACGTCTTAGTTATCTACTAATATGACCAAAACCATAATTAGATCTCTCATTTGTTAGCAGATTTCCCTAGACCTCATTGACTCCGATTTCGTCCAAATCTAAACTAAGTTGAAAAATTTCAAGTTACTACGAAAAAGTTTTTCGATCTAAAATTTTTCCGCTTTAGCTTTTCAATGGCAACGGATATCGATCGTTACAAACATACATAATCTATTTTATAAATAGAGTATGAGAAGAACAAAGTGTATGCAAAGCTCAATCTTACTAGAGAGATAAAGAAATTATTTCCGCTAGATACTTGGCTTAAGAAAAAAATTAGCACAAGAAAGTAAGACAAAACAATTTAAAGAGCATTCAAAGCATGTTGGGGAGAAAACATCATCACGATAAAATAATAGGAAAATTGAAGTGCATTAAGAATGATTACTATTAACATACTAAATACTAATTATCCATTCTAATTCGTATTTTCGACAACCTTTTATCAAAGTTATGTTCTCATTAAGTTGAAATTGTGTCATGTCATGTTTAATCACCTCTTTTCAATAATTCTCGAGCTATCTCTATCTCTCTTGAAACCATTCATAATTATTTTTTCACACATCCAACTCGAACTATCTCAATCTTGTCTTTTGTATCTTGCCTTCCGCCCTGGTCACTCCCACCTAGTCCATATCTTTGTTCCTAATCTATTTTTCTAGTATGATCGCACATCCGTCAACATTTTCATAAATTGGAGATTTTTTGACCGACACATTTCATCCTATACAACATAATAAGTAAGGTTGTGTGTACATTAAGCTTTACTTCCACACTAATCTTATGTGTTAACAAATATTTTATTTCTTTTTATCAACTTCAGCCAAATATTGTTCAACTGTCTTATATATATTTGAATTGAAAATGTCAACCAAGTGAAATTTATAGGACCTATAATTGTAATTTTCGATTTTATTCAAATAATTATATTGAAGGCATACCCAGGATTTGAAGAGTTAAGGTGCACTAATAATATTTTTAAAAAAGTGTTGTTGACCAAGATTGAACATGGGTCTACAAGTGTAACGACCCGTTTAGTCGTTTTGAGCAACAGATTTCAATTCTGGAAAAACTGGCAGAAGCGACGGACCCCACGACGGAACGTCATGGGCACGACGGACCGTCGAGGGGGTCTCGTCTCAAA